CCCTGGGTGCTGGGAGGGAGCACAGCAGAGTGACCTCTGCCCCAATGAGGGGGCCTGGCACAGGTTCCAGAGAACAGTGGAGATCAGCTCCTAAAATCTCAGAATCCACCTCTTTCTCTCCAACCAATCTGCCTGCACACAGGCCCTGCTTCAGTATTTCCAACCTAGACCATTATAACAGCCTCTTGGCCTCCCTGCCTCCCTCCTCACCCAGAAGTCAAAGAGATTCTTCTAAAATTTGCATCTGACTGTGTCACTCTCCTGATTCAGTGTCATTCCATCACCTTCAGGGGAGAGCCCAGCATAGCCTAGAAGGTCCCTGATGACCTGCAGCCCCTGCCCACCCTCCTCTTGCTGGGACATATCAAGTACCCCACCTGCAAACACACGTAAGTTGTGTTACCTGTCCCTACCCTATCTGCTCCCTCACCTACTGGACAAGACTGACCCTACAAGTCCAAGATCAAGAACCCCAGGGAGGATGCCCTTCATGCTGGGCCTCAGCATGCTCTGCTAGAATCCTGCTGAAGCTGGCTTCTGTACACAGAAGAAGACTCTATGGCCAAGGAGTAACCATTAACAGACTTGCAGTTTCTTCCAATGCATACAAGGAGTCTGTTTTTCAAACTAGTGTTCTAAAGTTTTCTAACTCCTCGCCAAATTGTGTAAATTTCCACTGCCAAAGACAAGCCAGAAGAAGTGCTCCTAACTCATTATGTCATCATTAGTGCTCAAGATCACCCTTATTTTTAATTTTGCTATTTAGCAGGTACAAGATTGTGCGCCATTTTATTTTGTGTTTCTATTTAGAGGTTGACCACTGTTCTCTGTGCTTGCAGATCACACCCCATCCTGTGGGAATTATCTCTTGAAATTGTTTACTATCAGGATCTGACGGTTTTCTCCGTTATCGGCAGGAGTTCATCATACAAATCAGGGACACAGAGATATTCACCTCAGCATTATTTATAATGGCAAAAAATGAGACAAAGCAATAGCTTAAGTGTCAGAGTGCAGCCCCTGTGTGGAGCACTGGAGAGCCGTTAGTGGTGGTGACAAAGACTGCACAGGGGGATGCTGGCTGAAGGAAGGGAGGCCAAAGCCAGCCTGCAAAATCACCTCCATGTTCTGATCCCAATATCGGCACAGTGTCTCGTGTGCTGGGCCCCAAGACTCAGGATGAGCAAGCTCGTCCCTTCCCCTGGACCTCGCAGCCCAGGCCAGGGAGGAGAACGGAGGAGCAGACGGCTTCAACGCCAGGAGACATGCTGCAGTGGAGGGGACACAGGCCGTGGGAAGGGCTCTCAGGGGAGGCAATGCCTCCACCGAGTCCTGAAGGACCTATGGGTGCCCTTGATGGAGCTGGCGCCCGCCAGACCCCAGGCACCCAAGTTCAAGCTCACCAGGTAGTCCTCTGCTCGGGGGCCAAGGTCTCCACTCCTTGCGACCTTGAACACAGAAGCAAAGCAGCGTTATAAGCAAGATCCTGTATTCTCCCCCCACGGTCCGCTGAGGTGGGGATTATCAGGCCCATTTCACTGCACAGTGAAGACCAAAGAGGCTGGGTCACGCGTGCTGGGTCTTGGAAGTTTCAAACCCAGAACCCCAAACTCCAAGCTCATAAGCCCTGCACCCAGGAAGAGACAGGACCAGGGCTCTCGGGGTCTGGCCAAAGAACATTCTGAGAGATTCTAAATGACAGGCGTGGAGGCTGAAGTTTGAGAACCAGCAAATGGCAGGCCACCAATTGCTTATTCTAAGAAGAGGTACGCTTCAGGGGCCCCGCCCTCCACGTTTGCTGCCCTCACTGCTGGGACCTGCTCTCTGTAGACCACTGGGGACGTGACACATTTCTAGGACCCGAAATGTGCTCAGTTGGGTCACCCTCTCCTAAGAACACTTGGCCAGGTGTGCAACCTGTCTTCTCTTCTCACTTTTATTTGACACCAGCAGCAATGAGACATCATCTCTCTTCTAAATTAATTATGTCCATCATCACCAAAAGAAATTCACTTAGCCCTGTCACAGCTGGCAGGTGACAGAAAAGCCTGCCTCTCACACACCAGCCTGGACCACAGAGCTAACTCGGGAGGGAACAGAAGGGGACAGGGGAGGCTGGCACCAGGCAAAGGCTCCGGGCCTGACCATCAGCCAGGAGCGAGGGAACACCAGGCTCGGCTCGTCCAGGCTGGAGTCCTGCCTGCCCCTTGCAGGCCGAGTATCCTGGACCTTGCACTTGCCCTTGCTGGGTCTTGGGTGCCCAGGGGCACAGGAATGCCAGGGAGCCACGAAGGAGCAGACTCGCTTTGCATCAGGAGTCCGTTTCCTTTGTTCTTCAGGGCGGTGGGAACCCTGCGGAGATTTTACAAGGTTATTTACAAATAGGGTGCATTCCTTCAAGCCATATTAAAGTGTGTTTAAATATAAGAGAAAGGATCGGCCATCCTCGGAAACCCCCGTGGCTTTCTGCATCACAGTGATTTCAGGCTGGCTCCAGTCGGTCGGCAGCCCCAGAGGCCGTGTGCATCCGGCCCCTTCCTCTCCCTCCAAGCCCCCGTGGGACCCTGTGGTACACACCTCCCTGCACTCTTCCAGAACTTTCACACACTGCGAGCACAGTCTCCACCCCTGCTCTCCCTGTCACCTGCCCTCTGCACACACAAGGCCCTGTGTTCGCCCTTCCTCTGGCTCCACTCCAGCCCCCCAGCAGCCCGGCAGCTTGCACCTCACTGCACAACCTCCACCCCTTACAGTCCCTTGTTTTCCAGTCACCATTCACCATCAGACTCAATTCCATGACTGCCGTCTGCTCTGACCCTCAAGCATCCCAGCTGTGCCTGTCCTAACGTTCCAGCACCTAGAGTCCCACCTGGGCTGTCTAATAAGCACTCACTTACACAGACCTTGCCTCACTCGATCCACACGTCCAGCCTGGAAGCTGGGTGTCATTGTGCCATTTTATACTCATGGTCATCCCCACACCAGTTATTATCCCCCTCGTGGTAGCAGACTGTGCTCTCCAAGAGCATCCACACCCCGTCATGGAGCATCACCTCGCCTGCAGAAGCAGAGCCTGGATCCCCTGCCCTTGAACCTGGGCAGGCTACAGTGAGTGTCTTACATGGAAGGACAGCAGGTGCCAAGCCTCACGACTTTCAGGGCAGAGGCATGGAACCCAGGCACCCCAGGAGGCCACCGCAGCTGCCCAGGCCAGCAGTCCCTCCTGAAATCCCAGCCAACAGCCAGCAGCAACCACCAGGCACGAGAGCAAAGGAACCATCCTGTGGCCAGGGGAGAGATTAGAGTTGGGCTTGGCATGGTGGGGATCTCACTGTGACTCAGCCAGTGCCCGGCTGTGGGACAAGTTCTGGAGGGTTCCATAATTCAGGACCTGATGGACGAGGGATGGGGGTGAATGTGGGGCCCCTGTCACTTCCTCCAGATGCTCCCTTTGCACCTCCCTGTTGCACCTGGAAGGCGTTGTTGGTGGCTTGGCTGCCGGAGGCCTTACTCGGGACCGTACTGAGGGACCGTGAGATTGCAAGGCCCTGAGTGCTGCCCCATCTGCAGTCCCCTGATCTGGGCAGGTGGGGAGTGTGCTCATGGACTGTGTGCTCATGTACTGCGCCCCTCTTCCTGATCACAGCACAACGACATCATGTGTGAGTCCGAGAGTGTAGAGGGTGCTGTTGTGCAGGGGCCATGCTGGGCTCTGGGCCACACAACCTGGTGTGGGACCTGGCTCAGAAACTTGAGATGAGCTGGGCCCCGTCTCTGAGCTTCGGCTTTCACATCTCTCAGGACGACGACCATGCCCAGGTCACCGCATGACTGTGGGGAGCCTTCCAGCACAGGCCATCGGGATGTGCCCCGAGGTGTGGGGGGCAGGTCTCCTGGCCTTGGTGACCCCTGCCAGGCACAGTGACTCCTCCCAGGGGAAGTGGGCTCTCTCTGGCTGAAGGGTCTGACCTTGCCTTGGACGCCCCGATGGCACATCTCAAGGCAGAGGGCGGAACCACCACTTTGCCCCTCCTTCCTTCCATGGCCATGTCCCTCCAGTTTATTAAGACACAAGGGCTCTTTGACTCTGGGAAATTAAGGAAGGGTGTTTGCCAGCATTATTTTTGCTTAGTGAGATGAATTTGATAGAATCATGTTCTGTAACAACTGCACAGAGAAAAATTATGTTTGCTTCACAGAGAGCCCCCTCTCCCTTTGCTCGCTCCCAAATCAATCCAAACCACAAGGACTATGAGAAGTACAGCCTCCACGGTGACACTCAATCTGTCAGATTTGCGGTCCTTCATTACGAGCATAATCACAATAAATAAAAGATAAGGCTTAGCGTAGCACAGTTCATCAAAGATGCAAACTCTCCGTCCCATCCACCCATGAGAGCCCCAGGCCACAAGGGAAACAGGGTAAGGACAACCTGGAGCGGATGGAGAGGGCCCCACTGCCAGGGGACACCAGGACTGGAGGCCCACAGGACCAGCGGCAGCCCAGGATGAGCGGATCCTTCCCACACACTTTCTGGCTTCTTCTCCAAGGCAACAGAAATTTGCTTCCATTTAAGATTTCTTTTTGCTCAAGACAGAAAGTTACCAAACCACGCTGAGTTCTTAAATGCCAGGCACTGTGTTGGCCACGCTACAGGCCGTACCTCCTACCTTCTGAACTCCCCTGGGGTGGGCGTCTTACGGGTGGCAGGAGTGTGGGCTGCAGAATCCAGACAAGAGCGGGTTTGAATTCCCTCTTAGAGTCTCGGTTGCTGTGCAAACTCCATGTTCCATAAGTGAATTCTTATTGGAGCAGAAGATGAGACACAAAGCTCCCTCTCCCTCTCTCTCCCGTACCCTCTCCCTCTCCGTCACACATCCCCATCTGTAAATGCACAGAGGGGGTGCAACCTGCTTGAAGACCTTCCCAGTCCTCAAGGTGGAGCTGAGGCAGGTCTCTGTCTCCTGAGAGGAGACCCTCATGCCACAAAGCAGACTCACCATTATCTGCAGCAGAACACTGCCCACACTGGGCCTTATCTTCCCCAGACCTGGGCAGCTCCCAGGGACCCAGGGATGGTGGAGGGCTGAAGCATGGTCACAGCAGCCTAAGGGTTCCTAGAGAAGCTGAGTGTGGTGAGGAGTAATAGAAGATTCCAGAAGGTGACCAGCAGGAACCAGAATGCAAAACACTTCTTATTGTCAGGGGTGTTCTAGAAAGAGCTGGAGGATCAAGGGGCCCTGCTCTCACCAAGAGCATCAGATAGTTTGGGGACAGGCCACCCACACAAGGTGCCTATTCCCTTCCAATGGCATCACTAATTACTAAATATCAGTGACACATGGCAACTCGCCTGTCACATCTGCACCCAAATTCAAACATCAGCACAAAAAAAAAAAAACCTCCAAACACCAACTAGTTTACAGGAGAGTGTTCATCACAAGGAACCATTAACTGCAAGGACCCAAGCCCCCATCAAGGAGATTTTATCCAGGACCTACTAAGACAAACACCTAGTTAATATTGTCACATGCCAGGCACCAAGACACCCAATGAGAATGTGTTAAAAGAATGAATGAGCCAAATGTTCCAATAAGTACCATTGTATATTTCATATAATTTAATACAGGAATGCTGTTCTTTATACCCTCAGAGCCTCAGTTTCCTGATTTATAGAAGAAATAACACAGTCTACCTCACAGTATGATGAGATTAAGTGAGATAGGATAGTACAGGATCTAAATGTGTGCACATCGAGTAGTGTAGGTTTCATTAAGCTGGGGTACTAATCATCACCATCTTTGCTATTGGATATCACTTACTTAGCATCTACTAAGTGCCAGGACCTTTTCAGTCCTCCTAATCCTCACCAGAACCCTTCAAGGCAAATAGTATGTTTGCCTTTATGCAATGTTTACATGAGCTGGAGAAGAAAAATGGTCAATACGGAATCCTACAATAATGACCATTCTTGGCAGTGTGGCAGACTGAGTGCTCCAAAGCACACTCCCATATCAGAACAAGACTACCCTGAAAAACAGGCATGCACCTGGGAGACAGTGCTGGACTGACAGGCATGTGGACATCTCCAAACCCTTTAATCTTCCTCCAGGTGGGAGCTAGAGCTGGTGGTGCACAGACAGAAGAGGTTGCCTGCCTTGAGGGTAAGCACCAAATGGCATCACTACTGGGATTCTGAGCCTAAAGAGGCAGTGGGGCTGGGCTGGCAACCCCCTGCAGATCAGGGATGTTCAAAGGTGGTTGAAGTGCCTCCAAGTCCTTGATGTCCTTGATTCACAGCAGAACCAGATAGGAACTTCAAGAGGAACGCATTTCCTACTTTGGCCCATGAGCATCCTACAGATTTAAAAACAATAATAATAAATGAGCTCACAATGAAAAGTCACAAAACAGAAGGAGGCAAATGCCCACAGGTGGCAGTCAGCACATAGAGCAAGCAATAGATTCAAACACCTGAAGCCTGCACATATGGACTGGTCCAACACGTGCCGTGCAGCATCAGTGTATCGGAAATATGGAGAAGGAAAGGGAATCACAGAGATGAGGTGTCTACAGGAGACCATCCAGGGTGACCAAGCAGCTCTGAAAATAACCAAATGGAACTTCCAAAAGTGAACATATTCATTAATTTAAAAAACCCAATAGATGGTAGATGAGTTAATAATTTTGTGAACCTAAGGATAAGAGTCTGATTAAATTACTCAAAATGCAATAGCAAGAGATAAGGAGATAAAAAAATACAGGAAAATACAAAAGATATGAGAACTAGAAGGAAAAGCATGAATATAGACTTGGAGCCCCAGAAGTCCTTCAGAGTTCTACTCCAAGTCTATATTGAGTCTATATGCAGAGAGGGTAGAATATATGAACATGTAACATATGAACACTCAATAGCTGAGAACATTCCCAAATAGGTAGGAGACACTGATCCAAGCTCCATAATCACTATATGTTCCAAATAAGATTGAATGTTTTAGATCCTCACTGACATCCTGTCGTGAATCTTTAAAACACTAAAGACAAAGATAAGATTTTAAAAGCCTCCAGAGAAAGAGATGAGATAACCACTCAACAGTGAAGAGAAGACAGAGTCCATCTCAGCTCCAACAGAAGCAGCCAGAGTACGCGTCCCTGTGCCTTCAGAGTGGGGCACTGCAGTACTGTCACCCAGAATGGTGGGTCACAAACTGCACAGCCAGCAGGACAGAGGGAAACAAGGCTGTGTCCGGACGTCCAGGACAGGTGAAGTCCAGCAGCCCCTCCTTGGGAGGAAGAGGAAGCAGTCACAAAGATGACCCCTAAAGTGCAAGACATAAAATCAAGAATCAGTAAATGCATGGACTCAAACTAAAAAGCTTCTTCTCAGCAAAAGAAACAAACAGTGAGGTGAAGTTTGGAGCAAATTCTTGCCACACACAAGTCAGAGAGAGCACTAATCTCCAGGATATATAAAAAACTCAAAAAACTTAACAACAAAAAACCAGATAACCCAATCAATAAATGGGCTAAGGAGCTGAACAGACACTTCTCAGAAGAAGATATACATTCGATGAACAAACATTAAAAAATGTTCATCATCTCTAGTAATTAGAGAAATGCAAATCAAAACTAAGATTTCATCTCACACCAGTCAAAATGGCAGTCATCAAGAAAACAGACAATAATAAGTGCTGACAAGGACGTGGGGGGAAAGGCACACTCATACTTTGCTGATGGGACTGCAAATTGGTGCAGCCAATCTGGAGATTCCTTAGAAAACGTGGAACGGAACCACCATTTGACCCAGTTATCCCACTCCTTTATCTCTACCCAAAGGACTTAAAATCAGCATCCTACAAGGCCACAGCCACATCAATGTTTACAGCAGTTCAATTCACAATAGCTAAACTGTGGAACCAACCTAGATGCCCTTCAACATATGAAAGGATAAAGAAACTGTGGTATACATACACAAAGGAGTATTACTCAGCATTAAAAGGGAATAAAATTATGGCATTTGCAGGTAAATGGATGGAGTTGGAGAATATCATGCTAAGTGAAGTTGGCCAATCCCAAAAAACCAAATGCTGAATGTTTTCTCTGATTTAAGGATGCTGATTCATAATGTGGTGGGGGGAGGCATGGGAGGATTTGATG